TCCTATAATTATACGTATAGTTTGAGAGTTCTGTGTGGTTGTTGCAATAATCAAATCTGTCTTCAAGAAAGTGCAAACAGAAAGCTTGTTACAGGCAAGGTTGGTGAAACTTCTCACTTACTTTGGGGCATATTTTCAGAAGGAATCAGTCCTCGGAATCTCATCATCCTGGGAAAGATAAAGAGTTGGCAAAAGAAAGAAAGACCCTTAATGAGATGGATTGACACAGTGACTGCCAGAAGGGGCTTAAGCATGACAGAAATGTTGGGGATTGTGCAGGGTTGGGCAAGGTTCATCTGTTGTGTATAGAATCACTATGAATAACACAGTCATCGTTGACTCTGTGGCTTAATTCATTGCAATGTATTACCATACCCAACAGAGAAGTAGTGAGTGCTGTGGAAGGAATGGCTGGTGCCAGAATTGGGGATAGGGTATGTCTGACCTCAGAGCAATCAGTCTTGGACTCCTGGTCTTAATTTCCCCCTCCTTGTGAAGTTAGTAGAGGTCAGATGCCACTGCTCCCCTATCCATAGCATTTCTTTTTGAGAGTAACTAGAAGCTGCTCTCAACCCCGTTTTCTCCCTAGAGTAGGGTCCCCATCCTGAGTGGGACATGAGTAGCAACCAAGGCTCAGGGTACTAGTGGGGTCCTCTCTCTTAGTCATAGGTAATCTGAATGCCCATCATCCTTCCCTACCCCCAACCCCTGACCAGGCCTTCTTGCCCCCAGGGTCTTCCAGCCTACTCCCAGCTAGCCACAATCCCTTTGGCCAAGACAGAGAAATGGCAAAAGGGTAGGTTGGGTGAAGCACAGACTGCTGGTCTAACATGCCTTTCTGCAAGGCCTGACAATGGAAGAATTGGAAGGGTTCAAACGGGACTGAATTGAGCTGGGGCAGTGCAGGGGAGAGCATGAATTAGACCAAGCTGTCCTCTGTTCCCAAGGAGGATGAACCTAGGCCCAAAGAAGAAGAGGGTCCTGCTAGAGGTATAACATACTCATTCATTCACTCTCTGATGTCCATTTGGAAGCAATTCAGCCCGACCTATCAATGGATTTTTCCAGAGACTAAATTGTACAGGGAGAGATTGCCCATCTTTCTCCCTTGGAGCTGCTGGTAGAATCTAACCGCCAGAGAGGAGCTGGTTGTGGGACAGCAGACACCTCCCTTAGGACTTTACTTCACCAGGGATCCAAGAGCAAGCCTAGATGGAATATTGGTGCTGAAGCCCCTGATATCTGCATGGAGTTAGCAGGATCTGCCAGTTCCTGATATTTTGGGCATATTATTAAGTGAGATGAGTCCTTGGAAAAAGACATCTTGTTGGGAAAGGTGAATGGTCAGAGACAGGAAGACCCTTAATAAGATGGACTGAAACAATGCTGCAACAATGGAGTGGTGTGCATAGGAGATCATGAGAATGGTGCAAGATCAGTGGACTTCTTCATAAGATCAGTCACCTCTTCATAACCCATTTGTTGTTGTTGTTGTTAGGTGCCATTGAGTCTAGGACAACTCATAGCGACCCTATGAACAAAAGATCTGACCCCTGTTCTATAACTATTGTCATTCCTCTATTGTTCATAGGATTTCTAAAGAGGCCTGTTATTTAAAAGTGGATGTCAATCCTGCTTCCAAGTCTGTCTTAATCTGGGAGCTCTACAAAACCCTGTCCACCATGTGTAACTATCATGGCATTTGACACACCAGTGGCACAGCGTTCAGTATCACAGCAACCCCAAGTTACCTCAGTACAGCAAACTGACAGACAAGTGCTATACCACTTAGAGCAATGTTCTCATCATACACAATTAACAGTTAACCAGGGCCAACCCACTTATTTTTAAATTTTTTTACTAATTTACAAAATTCGAATACAAATTAAAACAAATTATTTCAATTTCCCTTACTGCCCCCATCAAATTGTACAACCTGATGATTTATCCCCTCCTCCCCATGCACATCCACATCCCTCTACTTCCAGCCTCTCCAACCCCTCTTGGATCCTTATACTCATTCTACAACTCAGCATAATGCTCTCCAGTCCCTCTCAAGTTAGGTAATAATTTACAAAATCATTGCTCCTGCATAGTATTCCATTGTGTGAATATACCAAGGACCAATCCACTTTTAAATACACTGCCCACTAGGTCCTGATTGATTTAAACAAGAGGCTTCAGATCACAGTTGATTGTTAACTAAATCCAAATGACCAACACTAGATTGTTAATGAAACAAACAAAAGACCCGAAGCAATCAAAACAACCAGAATCCAACTGCTTCACACAGGAGCCTCCAAACCTATGTTGTTGTTGTTGTTATGTGCCGTTGAGTCGCTTGCGACTCATAGCGACCCTATGTACAACAGCACTAAACCCTGCTCTATCCTGTGCAAATCTCACCGCCTCTGACACATCCATCCCGATTACCCCAGTCACTGAATCAATCCACCTCATAGAGGGTCTTCCCCTCCTGCGCTGTCCCTCTCCAAAGACCTGTCTCTCCTTACAACATGTCCAAAGTATGTCAGGCGAAGCCCCAGAATCCTTGCCTCCAAGGAGCCACCGGATTTAACCCTCTCTAGGATGAATCTATTTGCTTTCTTGGCAGTCCATGGTACATTCAGTACTCTTCTCCAGCACCACAGCTCAAAGGTGTCAATTCTCCTTCTATCCTCCCTAGCCATTGTCCAACTCTCTGATGCATAACAACTGATTGCAAAAACCATGGCCTGTATCAGGCACACCTTAGTCTCCAGAGAGACACCGTTGCTCTTGAGTACTTTAGAGAGGTCCCTAACTGCAGACTTTCCCATCGCAATACGTTTTTTGATTTCCTGGCTACTGGTGCCAAGAGTGTTGACCATGGAGCCAAGCAAACTGAAGCTGTGAACAATCTCAATCTCTTCACCATCCATCCTGATGCTACTGATTGGTCCAGTGGTGAGAATTTTTGTCTTCTGGACATTGAGCCTCAGTCCATATTGAAGGCTGCAGTCCTTGACCCTCTGCAGTAAGTGCATGAGGTCCTCCTCAGTTTCAGCGAGCAGGGTTGTGTCATCTGCATAAGGCAGACTGTTGATAGATCGTCCACCAGTCCTAACGCCACGCTTCTCCTCATAGAGCCCTGCCTCTCGGATAATGGATAATCTGCTCTGCATACAGGTTGAAAAGGTATGGAGACAGGACACATCCCTGGTGTACACCCTTCCCAATTTTGAACCATGCAGTGTTGCCCTGCTCTGTTCTGACTACTGCCTCTTGGTCCAAGTAGAGAAGGTAAAGTACTATCTATCGCCAAGGGTGCTGTGAGAAATAAAGTAACTGAAAGAGTATTAATCAAACAAGTCAAAGATAGTAATACATCTTCATTCATTCATCCAGACGTAGATGCATTTAAACTGGGTCCAAGAGGAGGAATGAGATGTGGAGGAGCAGCCTCAGCAAAGATCTGGAAATGTACAAAGAGGCAACACCCCAATTTTCACAGCAAGAAGGTATTTTCCAGTTTAGGAAGAGGTGGGAAAGATGCTCAAAGAAGAGATGGATCAGCAGGAAATTCTGAAGTCGGTCCAAACACCTTCCTTTTTGGAAGGTGGAGCGGCCGCAGGCAGAGGGTTCAGAAGGTCGACTCATCTCTCATGTGTGAAGCAGAAGGTAGGATTCCCTTTGCGAAGGGCTTATGTTTGAAACAGGTCCTAACAAGACCAGAAAATAACTAAAAGAAAGCCCAGTCTCGAAGCCTTACCTATCCAGAGCTGGGAAAGAAGGCCAGCAGAGTGCGCAAGGCCCGCATTTCTCTGGGCGCCGAGAGGAAAGAGGCGGAACGCAGAGTGGAGCATGAAGGAGAAGGACTGCTGAGGAGGCGGGGCAGGTGGGGGCGTGGCCAGGGCGGGTCAGCATGGCCAGGGAGGGAGAGTGGTCACAGGGGGTGGAGTTTCTGCTGCCGCTTGTTGCGGGTAGGCGGACCGGCGGAGCAGGATAAGCCTGGAGGTGGGAGGGGGCGTGTCAAGAGCGGGACTGGACTTTTGGGAACGCGAGGTGTGGGTAGGGGCTCGTGGTGATGGTATAATTACTAAAATGAGGGCGTGACCTAGGCGGGGTAAAGGTAGCCGGTGGGGAGCTGCGATTGCACGAGTCGACACTGGGCACACAGTCCCGCCCCTTTTCCAGGCGGGAGTGTTTCTGTGTGTACCTATGTTAGTGTGTAGGAGAGTTTGTGGGTCCGAAGTTGCCATGTTGGTTCCCCTAGGGCAGTAAGTGTTTCCACACTAACAAGCACTAACTGTGTGGAGGGGGCTGCCTTGGCCATGAGTTCATATAGCTGCCCAAGCACTGCTGAACGAGTCCCTGGGTGGCCACTCGGCGCACTGGGCTCCTTAGGGGCTTATCTGGAGGGTCGCTTTGATCGGCCAGCGCTCAAGCTGGATTCTGTCTCCTTTGGCTCCTCCCCGCTTCCCTCCCTCCCTCGTTCCCTGACGGCGCGCGCCTCAAGCCCACCCCCTCTTTTCGGCGCGAGGCTCCGCCCCCCGCCCCCTTTCCTTTGCCACAAAGTTTATTTGCAACAAAAGGGAGTGAGGAGTTCACAGCCAGGGGGAGGGAGCTAGAGCGGGAGCGGGAGCGGGAGCGCGAGCGGAGGCGGGGTGGCCGGCGGGCGCCGAGCGGAGGAACGGAGCGCTGGGATCCCGCCTGGGCCGAGAACGGGCCACGATGTCCTGGGTCGCGCCAGCCGAGGCGGGGGCTGGGCCCGGGGGTAGGCGCTGAGGCAGGAGGGGCCGCAGGGGATGGAGCCGCCGCCTGCGGCCACAGAAACTTAAACTGGGGCGGATAAACCTCGCCTTAGGTCTCGGCGCCCTGCCCCTGGAGCCCCCAGCGCGCTGCGGGTGCGGAAACCCAGGCCTTCGGACCTCAGCCTTTGCACTCCTTCGGGGCGGAAGCACAGGGGGGGTTGGCCGCGGCTCCTCGGGGCCAGCCCCCCCGGAGTGAGTGCCGCCACCATGGCAGACGGGGCGCCCCGGCCCCCCCTCTATCGCAGCGTCTCGTTCAAGCTGCTGGAGCGCTGGAGCGGCGGACCAGGGCCGAGGGAGGAGGAGGTCGGCGACACCCCCGGGCTGCGGCGCC